GCCCCAAAGAGGCCCACCCACTGCCCGACCAGGAGCCAAGGCAGCCCACCATGCACTCAACTGCACTGATACAAGAAGAGTCACCAGCAGAGCCCACAAGTAGAGAAGGAAGTCTTTCCTTAAATTTAGGTCTTTGATCTTTTTTTTTTAGCCCACTCCAGAGTAATAGAAGAAACAAGTGTCCTACCAGATGACCAAACATCAAAGAAAAATAACTAAAACTACAAATAAACAAGAAGATATGACACCAATGAAGGAGTATGTACAGGGATTGAACTCTGGACCTTGGTGTTATCAGTACCACACTCTAACCAACTGAGCTAACTGACCAGCCCTCTATTTCCCTATGAACTTTTAAAAGTACCCTTGTATGTTAAGTTAAAAAAAAAAAAGAAAAACAAAACCATGGAGCCAGGCTAGATACCATATTTGACACTTTCATTTGTTTAGATTTCAGAGAATTAGAAGAAACCTACCACAGACCTGGCTTTAATAGTACCCTTTAAGCAGATACCCTTTCTCATCATAAGGAACCAGGGTTCTTAAAGAAACGGCTAATTCCAGCTCCAGAGCATGAAATGTCAAGACATGCTTGAAACATCTTGTTACACCAGAAAGCAGGGAAGCTACTGAAAACTACTAGAGTCATGTCAAAAGTACTAAGACACCAACCTGAACAGGCTCCCGGTGGCCAAAGGTGGGACAATTTGAGCATCAATGAGAATAATAACTGCAAGAAACTGAAACATACTGATATGGATTGTGTTCCCCAAGGTTTATGTATTGTGACCCCCAGTGTGACTTTTAAGAGGGTGGGAAGTCCCTATTACAGTAATCTAAAGGTGGGGCCTTGAAGAGGTGATTTGATTGTAGGACCATGCCGTAGTGAATGGATTAAAAATGGTGGTCAGGAGTGTGGTTCTGAGGGCTTTAAAAGAAGAGTGCGTGAGAGGTTAGTTTCTCTCTGCTCTGCCATTTTCTGCCATGTGAGTCCCCTGGGTCACTGTCGCCACCACCAGAGCCTTCACCAGCTGTGTTTCCTGGACTTTGGACTTCCCAGACTCCAAAACTATAAGCAATAAATTTTGTTTTCTTAAAAAAAAAAAAAAACTGAACAATCTACTTCCTCCTAGAAATACTCTAGATTATGAACCTACTGTAGAGTACATAGGCTTGCCCGCTTAAGCATGTGAGTCATCCCCCTGCTTTTTCATTGTCACTAGCTTTTGAATACCAACTTGGGCCTCTCCTTTGAACTGAAATTTCCTAGCAAGAACTGGTAAAGAAGATGTGTGTTCTAGCAGAAAGAGCCCTGTAGTTGAGGTGCAATGGACTGAATGTTTATGTCCCTCCAAAATTCATGTTGAAATCCTAAGTCCCAAGGTGATGGTATTTGGAGGTGGGGCCATTGGGAGGTGATTAGGTCATGAGGGCAGAGCCCTCATGAACAGGATTAGTGACCTTATAAAAAAGAGACCCGAGAGAGATCCATCATCCCTTCTGACATGTGAGGTTACAGTGAGAAGATGGCCATCTATGAGGAATCATACTCTCACTAGACACTGAATCTGCTAGCGCCTTGCTCTTGGACTTCCCATTCATTAGCCATGAACGACTTCAGGCAAACTGATAATTTGACTTACTTGAATCTTAAAAATTTCCTCATTTATAAATCAAGGATAATAACAGCAGCACTGTCTACTTCATAGGATTGCTGGGGGCGGGGGGTCGTATGAAATAATGAATGTAAGAGTGCTTTGTAAACTGTAAAGCATGATACCATGAGGTATGAGACTTTATATTTGTGTAATAGACATTTTGCTAGTGTATAGAGGCACTTAATAAAGGTCATCTGCTCAATAAATAATGAATGAGTGACCGGTCATTAAAAAAGTCAATAAAACAGGCAGAATTTTCTCCCAAGCATTTAAAACAAAGATGGGTTGGCCAGTTAGCTCACTTAGGAGAGCACGTTGCTAATAACACCAAGGTCAAGAGTTCAGATCCCCGAACCAGCCAGCCACCAAAATAAATAAATTAAATAAATAAATAAATAAATAAATAAAACAAAGGAGATGCATAGCACATTCAAACAGGAAAAAGCCTGGCCAACAACCAAAAACAAAAAACAAACAAAAAAATACAGGAAAAAGCAACATATACAGTATAAACAGCTGAGATGGTTATTAAAGTAATCTCTGCATAAAAAAGCTAACTATCCAGTCATGTTTCAGGGGATGAGCAATAACAGTTAGGAAACTCATCAGAAAAGTAGAAAAACATTAAGCTCTCCAACAGGCAACTCAAGAGTCAGAGAACTGGAACTGTATTAGATAGAATAAAAGTGGCAAAACCAAATGCTCAGAGAAGTTTTGGCCTTATATAGAGACTATGGAAATCAATCAATTTAGAGTTACGTAATTCAATTTTAGTTTGTATTAGTTACTATGGCAAACACACCTTACGGTCCAGATGAGGCTCATGGCTTAGAAATGGAATTTTCTCTTCTTCCCAAAAGACAGTAAAAGAAAAAACCCAAAACGTTCAAGTTTTTCTTAACTTGAATTCACATGGGCCATAATTACACAGCTCCAGGGGAATTCTGGGCTTATGTAAGTCAGTGCTACTTTGTACCAGGTTGTCACTCTCTGTATTGTTCTACCATCTGTTGTGGTTTGCAGATATTTGTATATGAAGAAGCAGTTGAGCCCAGAGTAGTTGGGATCCTTACATATTAATATGGACTCAATGACTTTCTGTGTGACTCTATGTAAGCCATCTAACCTCCTTAATGTTTTATGACTCCCTTATAATAACAACACTACCTTATGTGTGTATGAGCTGTTAAAGTCTACAACACATATATTATTTTCCATTGTTCCTTACAACCCCAGTGTGGGAGAGTCAGAGCAGGTATTATTCTCATTTTACAAATGAGAAAACTGAAGTCAAACAGCAGAGGAGAGATATCCATATGCAAAACAAACAAACAAAAAGCCATTTAGAACCTCACCTCAAACCATACATGAAAATTAAAATGGATCATAAACCTATATGTAAGAAATAAAAGTATAAAACTTCTATAAGAACACATAGGAGAAAATCTTCATAAACCTGGGTCAGGCAAAGATTTCTTAGTATGACCAAAAACACTACTCATAAAAGAAAAAAATGGGTAAACTGGACTTCATGAAAATTCAAAACTTTTGCTTTCCAAATGATGCCACTAAGAAAATGAAAAGATAAGCCAGAGACTGGGAGATAATATTTACAAATCATATATCTGATAAAGGACTTGTATCCTGAATATGTAACGAACTTTTACAACTCAATAAAAAGACAACCCAATTTTTAAAATGGGAAAATAACTGCATAGGCATTTATCCAAAGAAGATATACAAATGGTCACTATGTACATGAAAAAATGATCAACCCCATTAGCCATCAAGGAAATACAAACCACAACCACAATGAGTTACCATTCTACACCCACTAGGATGGCTATAATGAAAAAGATGGACAATAACAAGTTCTAGTCAGGATTTGGAGAATCTGTAACCCTCATACACTGCTAGTGGGAAGGTAAAATGGTGCAGCTACTTTGGAAAATAGAATGCAGCTCCTCAAAAAGTTAAACATAGAGTTACCACATGACCCAGCAATCCCACTCCTAGGTAAATATTCGGGAGAACTGAAAGCTTAGGTCCACACAAAGACCTACCTGTACACGAAAAATGAACATTCATAGCAGCATTATTCATAATAGACAAAAAGTGGAAACAACTCAAATGTCTATCAACTAAAGAATGGATAAAGAAAACGTGGTATATCTATTCAATAGAATATTATTGAGCAAAAACAGGAATGAAATACTAACAATATCACAACATGGATGAACCTCAAAAATGTGATACTAAGCGAAAGAAGCCAGACACAAGAGGCCACATAGGGTATAATTTCATTTATATGACGTGTCCATCCAGAAAGAGAAAATCTACAGAGATAGAAAACAGATCTGTGGTTGCCTGGGACTGGTGGGAGCAGGGATTGACTGCAAACAAGCAAGAGGAAACTTTTTGGGGTAACAGAAATGTCCTAAAACTGGACTGTGGTGATAATTGCACAATTGTATATATTCACTGCATTGTGCACATATAATTGGTGAATTTTATGATGTGTAAATTATATTTCAATAAAGCTGATTTAAAAATCACTTAATAAACCTACATTGAAAAGAAAAAGAAATCATTGGAAGAGGGTCTAAAATATAGGTCTTCAATGTTCCTTCTAAATAACAATAAGACCTTTAACAGGTTAGTATCATCACAGGGGAAGTAACAATTCCACCAGGCTTTAAAAATACAAAATAATTCAAAATGTCCAGTTATTTCGACTTAATCTATAGTACACTTATGTTAGAAAATTTCTACTTTTAACTATATTTCATAAACCCAGGAAAATTTTGTAGTGTGTAAGTACATTGTAATATGAATTCACCCTAAAACTCACATTAGAAAGCATTATTTTATGTAATTTCTAATACACAAGACAGTTCCATTAGCAGCAACATGGATGAGCCTGGAGAAAATTATTCTAAGTGAAACAACCCAGGTACAGAAAGAGAAATACCACATGTTCTCGCTCATAACTGGGAGCTGAATCCATAAATAAACAAATGAACAATAAAGAGACAGAGAGAAAGAAAGAAAGAAACAACAATCACAGTAATACAAGGAACTTTTAGAAAACTAGAGGTGGAAAAGGAGGGGGGGAAGGAGGGGGGATAATGAGGAATTGGTCAAAATACACAAAGAATGATTGTGTATTGTAATGATGAATAAGCTAACTATACTGATCTAACCACCACACATTGTACACAATCATTGAAAATCAACGTTGTACCCCACATGTATGCATAATAAAAAGAATAAAAATAAAATAAAATAATAAATAATAAATAATAAAATCAGCTGAAAGTTTAATATCACTATTTGACTTACAGTGTGCCTAATAAGGCTCAGAGCATCTTCAAAATAGCCCCAAACTTCTTCCAGGGGACAGAGATCTGCACTCGAAGCCCCATCTGGCACTGAAAGGTTAATCAACTTGTGCATACATTTGCTGAAAATCAAAAAGAGAAAACTCATCCCATAAGGAAAGAAATCATTGGCTTCATGGCTAAGATAAGTAAAACTGGATCTCATCCCAGACTAAGCTTCAAAACACTTCTGTTCTTCCTTCAATTTTATCTGGCCTCCAACCTCAAAAGACAGATTTTTAAAGCTGTAAAAGGGGTTGACCGATCCATCCTTTTATCGTGCCTGTGGTTGTCTTTCACTGTTTTTTTAGTTTCCCGCATGAAGGAGTTGTGGCTATTTATTATATTTTATGAGCTAGTTCAATTTATAAGCATTTTAAAGCATCTTATTACTTCCTCAAATGGGCACAGGAACTTAAATTGGGAATAATTCCAGGAGAACTGTCTCTCATGTCTCAGAACAGAAAGACTGTAATGAAGTTTTCCAGAGAAAAATCACACATCTATTTTCTCCATGTCTGGACATAGAAAACAAAAAATCTCCAATAAATAATATTTTATACAGCACTTATTGGTGCTTAAAGAAAAGTTCGTATAGAAAAAATCTGAGGCAAATATAGCAAAATGTTAACATTTGTTAAATTTGGGTGCTGGGTACATGGTGTTTTTTATATTAACCTCTGCTTTTCTATACATTCGGAATATTTAGTAATGAAGCAAAGAAAGAAAGGTACTTAAGTAGCTTTATTATATGCATCGACTCACACAAAGAAACAACTTTTTTCCTCTTTTTTTCTTTTGGGAAAATCAGACTCCTTGATCTTGCTAAATAATTCCTGGTCTGTAAATACAACTCTCAATATGGAGCTGTTCACAGGAGGGCTCCCAGATCATCTTTCAAGTTGGGCCAGTTGAGCATGTTGCTGACTTTTGTGGAATTGACTATAGTTCTTTTGGCTATCAAAAAGCCTGGATTAGGTGTTGAATTACATTTACTAACCTGTACTTCAAAACATCAATTGATTCTTTCTTTTTGTGGAGCAATAAAGCCCTTTTCAAGGCTTTGCGAGCGATAGAAGGATAGTGTGCAGGTATTTCCACTGCTAATGCTAGAAGAAGGGAAGAAAAAAGGTTGTGAACACCATAATCTCATCCATTAGAGTTTTCATCCCAGGCTATAACTTGCTAATGAAACTGGCCTGAAACAGATTAACAAAACGACAAAAACAAATCTTATAAAATGATGAATCCACAGATGCTTTTAGAGATAGTGTCTACTTCCTAGGCAGAATAGCATGGTAGGATCACCATGTTACATCCTTTATTCAGCAAACATCAAGAAAAAACCTACTGTTCCTATGACCCTGCTCACAGTCATACAGGTGAAGCAATAATCTTATGAACCAGAGTCACAGAAGGGGCACACAAGAAGGAAACAGAAAAGTAAAAGGACACTAATCAAAAACAGATTTATACTACAATATACTGTTTTTGTCTGATACTAAAAATAGGAAAAAGGGCTGGCCAGTTAGCTCAGTTGATTAGAACATGGTGTTATAACACCAAAGTCAAGGGTTCAGATCCCTGTACCAGCCAGCTGTCCCCCCAAATAAAACAAAATAAAAATAGGAAACACTTGACACGAGAGGATCAGAGATAACTAACCCTAAAAATTTCAGATGCATTTAATAGGGCACTAGAATTGGAGTTCCATTTTACAAGAAGCAGTGGTCATTATCACATGTCCATAAAGCATACATCATCTGCTCCATGGCTCTAGGAATTCCATCTTAGAAAGACCAAGGAAAGGCAAATGTGATTCTCGTGCACTTGGGGCTACTTAATATCTTTATTAAACACACTCACACTCCTGAGGAAGGTCAGAGATAAAAAGGGAAGATAATTAGGCCATTTCCTGCAGTGTATCTCTAAAAAGGCTCTAAGCCCCCAAATCCCACTGACAGCTCAACCAGAAATTTGAGGGTGGCAGTTGAGTTAAAAAATATTATCAGTATTTCTCTGTACATTTCAATAAATTGCTAGGATTGCATCAATTTTGATCAGTGAGTGGTCAATTACTATTTCTAGCTAGCAGAGAAAAACTTTCTGAAGTTTGAGCTCCCCCTATTGTGTAATTAAATTCCACACATAGAATAAATTTGAGCACCTATTATAAGCAATGCACTTAGCTAGGGTTTATAAGTAATTATTGTTCATAACCTTAAGGAGATTATAATCGTACAGAGTGAAAAAAATAAATGCACAAATAATCATAATACAAAATAGTCTAAGAATGCCATTAGAGAGGGAGAAACAAAGTTCTATGAGGAAAAATTGTTTCACATCTGGAGGTAAGAAAGATGAGTAGAGAAGAAAGAAAAAAGTAGTAGGATCTAAATGGGCACCAGCCTCCTCACAAAAGCATAAATATAGCTCTTACATGCGATTGTTTCTAATGTTTTGCTCTCTAAATGAGGCAGCTCCCACACTGATTCCAGGAAGCTGTCCAGCGATGGATCATTCATTTTGGCTTTAACTTCAAACTCGTACAGCAGAAGTAATGTCTCACATGGATCATTTGAGAAGTCCCCTAAGAAAGAAGCAATAATGCAACATTCTCTGTGAATACATTTCATTATTCTCTCCTGTTGTAATCTCTCTAACTGGAAGGTCTTCCTGTTGAGGAATATTAATTTACTTACAATTTGAAGGTTATCCCAGCCTCTGTATAGATTTTTAACATTTTAAAATCGTTAAGATCACCATTACTTTCAGCACCCTGTAATGCGTTCGCTAGCACTGCCTATACTTTCCGAAACTATTGCCATGATGCTCCTAACTAGCCTGAAAAAGTCCTGCTGCTATTTTTTTTTATATTAAACTATAATTTATTGAGTGCCTCCCCTCCCTGCCCTTGCAGTCTCTAGGTCACTTTTTCCGCTTGTAGATCTTCTGTGCTAGCCCCAGGAAGATGGCTGGAGGCAGGGGCAGAGCTTACCGCTCTATGAACCCCAAAAGGTGGTTGTAAACGTCTTCCTCATACTGCAAGAACACAGCCGGCAGATGCAGCACCTCGTATAGCGCCTTTACCCAAGTGACCTTCTTGGCCTCCTTCTACCCATAATTCTCCTGCAGGATCTGGCACTGTTACACAGTGGCCCATTGCAAACACTGAACCACCAGCCAACTGTTTGTTGTCCTGGACATCAGTGCCAATCTTGCCAGTCACACTGGAATCCCCAAAGAGGTTAAGGTCATCCTGAATCTGAAAGAACTCTCCCATCTTCAGCAGGATCTTCTTGACATTGGCATGTTCCTTCTCCCCATCAATGCCTGCCATATACATGGCAGTAACTACAGGAAGGTAGAAAGAGTACAAAGCTGTCTTGTACTTGACAATAGATTTGTATCTCTTTTCAGTGAATCTTCCAAGATCCATATTGCCCTGGGGAGCTGTGATGAGGTCTAGGGTCTGCCCGATCTCAGTCTGATAGGAATTCTGCAGGAAGGGTTAGATCAGGTTCAGGTAATAGGGCTGCTCTCAGCAGTAGAACTTCAGCAGGTGGTAGATACATGCTTCCAGAAGCATAGCATCATTGATGGCATATAAACCTATGCCTGGCTTCTGATACTAGCAGATTTTTCTCCAACAAGTGAGGGATGAATTCATGATGCCATTGGACACCAGGAAGAAAGCTTGCAGCAGTTTCACACACCAGCCCATGGTCAGGGCTTGCTGGAGACTATCAGCATCCTGTTTCCTTGGCTCCACCAGCTCACAGAATGCTGTCAGCACTATCAAACCCTGCTGGTACTAGCCTCCAATGGCACTGTACCAGGACCTCCATGAGCCGGGCAATGGCAACTCCTGTCTCCGGGTGCCCCACCTTATCTTCGGTCAGTACCTTGACAATCTGGAAGAAGTGCTGGAGAAAATCTTGCTTTTCTTGGTCATAAACTTCTGATTTCTGGTCTCCATTCATTCTGAGGGAGGAGCAAAGTGCTCTGTTCCTGGATGCGGGTTCTTGCTTGGTCCAGACTTTCCAGGGGGTCCTCCTCCCTACTGCTATTTTAAAAATTCTATTCAAATCCAATGTTTACTTGTCTCTTGTGAACATTCCACTAGGCCCATGCTCACTCTAATAGCTGAGTTAACCAAAAGATACAGTGCTGCACAAACTAATAGTGGTTTTATTTCAAGCAAAGTAGAGGAGAGTTTCCAAACTGTTTCATTTAGTCAGTCAACAGTATTTCTGGGGTATCACCATAGGAATAATCTTATGTCAGGTTGCATATACCATACCGTATGAGACAATTTTCATTCACCCCTTGGTAGGCTGAATGTTTAAAAATGTTTTGAAATATAGCATACATACAATAAACTGAATGAGGTGCTCTTAACCTTAAGCAACCAGCTTGATGAATTTTTACATATGTTTGAACTTGCATAATCACTACCCAGATCATGATAAAGAACACTTCCAGCACTTCAGAAGGTTCCCTTGTGCACTTTTCCAGTCAATATCACCTTACCAGAGGTAATGACTATTTTTACTTCTATCATTATTGATGGTTATTGCTTATTTTTTAACTTCATTGCTAGTACATAGAAATATAACCAACTTTTGAGTTTTGACCTTGTATCCCATAACTTACTGAACTCATTTATTAGTTCCAGTAATTTTTTGTACGTTTTTTTTTGATTTTCTATACAATCATGTCATCTGCAAATAGAAATAATTTTATTTCTTCTTTTTCGTTCTATGTCTTTTTTTCCCCCATTCTTTTGCTTGTCTTATTGCACTGGCTGGGACCTCTAGGATAATGTTGAACAGGAGTGGTGAGAGTAGACATTCTTGACTAGGAGAAAATCATTCAGTCTTTCATTGCTAAGTATAATATTAGCTGTAGGTTTTATTTTTGTGGATGCCCTCTAGCAAGTTGAGAAACTTCCCTTCTATTCCTAGTTTGACAGTTTTCTTTTTTTTATCATGAATGGATGCTGACTCTTGTCACATACTTTTTTTTTATATCCGTAGAGATAATTTTATGTTTTTTCTTCTTTAATCTGTTGATATGGCAAATTAATTGAGTTTACAATGTTGAAACTGGGATAAACATCACTTGGTTATGATGTATTATCCTTTTTATATGTTACTAAATTCAATTTGCTAATATTGAGGATTTCTGCATCTATTTTCACAAGGGATATTGGTCTGCAGTTTTCTAATATTGCCTTTGTCTAATATTGGTATCAGGATAATACTGATCTCATAAAATGAACTGGGAATTATGCCCTCCTCTCCTCTCTTGAAGAGTTTGTATAAAATTGGTATTACATCTTTTTTAAATGTTTGGTATAATTCTTCAGTGGAGTTTTCTTTGTTGGAAGATTTTAAACTATGAATTCAATTAATTTAATAGGTAAGGGACTATATTTCTTCTTGAGAGAGATTTGCTACTTCGTGACTTTCAAGGAATTTGTCCATTGCATCTAAGATTTCAAATTCAGGGGCATAAAGTTGTTCATAATATTCCCTTATTGCCTTTTTTCCCCACAATCACTTTTATTTTTCTTTATTACCTTTTTTAATGTCAGTAGGATCTCTAGTTACATCTCCACTTTCATTCCTGATAGTTTTAATATATGTCTTGATCTGTCTGGCTAGAGGTTTATCAATTGTTCTAATCTTCTGGAAAAAAACCACACACACAAACAGCTTTTGGTTTCATTGATTTTATTTATCATTTTGTTTTAAATTTTATTCATTTGTGCTCTTGTCTTTATTATTTCTTTTCTTCTGCTTGGTTAGGTTTAATTTGCACGTTTTTTTTTCTAGTTTCTTAAGGTGGAGGCTTAGATTATTTGAGACCTTTCTTTTTCTAATAGAAGCATTTAATGCTATACATTTTTATCTAGTTGCTGCTTTAGCTGTATCCTCCAAATTTTTGTATGTTGTTCTCGTTTTCATTCAACTCAAAATATTCCTAATTTCCCTTATCACTTCCTCTTTGACCACTGGATTATTTAGAAGTATGTTTAATTTCCAAATATCGAGAGACTTTACAGATAGCTTTGTACAATAGATTTATAATTTAATTTCATTATGGCCAGAGAAAATACTTTGATATTTCAGTACTTTTTAATTTTTTGAGGTTGTTTTATGGTTCAGAATATGGTCCATTGTTCAGAAAATGGTTCATGGTGATGAGTGTTCCATGTACATTTGAAAAAAAATGTGTATTCTGCTATCATTGGGTAGAGTGTTCTAAAATGTCAATTAGATTAAATCAGTTGAGAGCATTTATGTCTTCTATATCCTCATTGAGTTCACTTATTCTATTGATTACTGTGAGAGGAGTATTGAAGTCTCCAACTGTAGTTATGGATTGTCTATTCCTCATTTCAGTTCTGTCAGTTTTTGCTCCATATATTTTGAAGCTCTATAAAGCAATTCCACTTACAACAGCATCAAAAAAAAAAAAAAAAATCCATCAGTCTTAATCATAAGATAATGTGATCTTATGAATAAAATTCCTGGAGAATCCAGTATGATGCCATTAGAACTACTAAACAAGTTTATCAAGGTCAATATACAAAAATCAATTCTATTTTTATATAGCAGTAATGAGCAAGCTGAAAATAAAACAATTCCATTTACAACAGCACCAAAAAAGGGCTGGCAGGGTAGCTGAATGCGTTAGAGCATGGTGTTATAACACCAAGGTCAAGGATTTGGATCCCTGTACTGGCCAGCTGCCAAAAAACCAAAGCCAAAAACAAAACAAAAAACACAATAGCACCAAAAAGAATAAAATACCTAGGAATAAATTAGTGCACAACTAGTACACTAAAAATTATAGAATATTATTGAAAGGAGATGTAGTAAAATGGAAAAATACCCCATGTTCATGGATTAGAAGATTTAACATTGTTAAGATGGCAGTACTCCCCCAAATGATCTATAGATTCAACACAATTCCTATCAGAATCTCAGCTGGTTGTTTTTTTTTCCCCCCCAGAAACTGAAGGGATATCCTAAAATTCATATGGAAATTCAAGGGACCCAGAATGGCCATGACAATCTTGAAAAAAGAAGAACAAAGTTGGAGGACTAACAATTCCCAGTTTCAGAACTTAGCATAAAACAATGGTAATCAAGACAGCATGGTACTGGCATAAGAACAGACATATATATCAATGGGATAGAACTGACAATCCAGAAATAAAACCATGTGTCTGTGGTCAACCAATTTTCCACAAGGGGGCAAAGACCATCCAATAGGTATAGTCTCTTAAACCTAGTTCTGGGACAACTGGATAGCCACATGATAAAGAATAAGGTTGAACCCTTCCCTCATACCAAATATAAAAATTAACTCAAAATCAATAGAAAATCTAAAGGTAAGAGCTAAAACCATAAAATTTGCAGAAGAAAATATAGGAGTAAACCTTCATGACTTTGGATTTGGCAATGGATTCTTAGATAACACACCAAAAGCACAAGTAACAAAAAAATAGATAAATTGGACCTCATCAAAGTTAAAAATTTTGTATTTCAAAGGACACTATCAAGAAAGGGAAAAGAC